GACCTTCTGCTCCCTCATTTAGTTAGTTGAAGATAAACCATGCACGGAACATTATGGAAAGTCTATGAGAAGAGAAGTGGAATGGTCTGAAAAGGGGACACTGTTGAATACTATGCCATTACTAAGTGAAAGTTGGAATTACTTTTGATTTAGATAACTGTTTTTTTAAACATATTCTACATCAAATTCAGGACGATACTCTGTTGGTCATTGGGTGGGGAACATCTGTTGCCAATGGGACATATAAGCACATTCCAATGTCTAGCATGAACAAGGTGGCATCTTTTCTATTTCATTTCAGGTATTGCTCCCTATGGTGATTCTAGCATACATCCCTGGGGAGGACTTCAGTTCTAGAAGATCAAATGCAATCAAAGCTGCTGAGAGGAAAAAATATCTATCCAAATGTCCATCGTTTAAATTTGGAGGTACCCATCCTGGTTTCCCATGCTTCGATGTGATCTTCATCACTAGGCTCAATATTATGCTGGACAAGTAACTACCTAATGCTGAAGAAGACTTTGATAAGCCGAGCCCCAAGCTCTTCAGCCCATCCGGTATTTGAGACGCAAAGAATTCCCATTGCGCAACGTATATGAATGCTTCAAGCACGTATTGTGGAATCTGCCAAAAAATACTTAAACAATGTGTTTCTCTTATATCTGCGATTGCTCAACTAGGCCTGCAATATAACCATTCCGATTCCTATTCTCTGTAGCTCGCTAGGAGGGTTTGGCTCCCGTCTTGTTAGTTTGATGTATAGAGTAACTATCACTTTTTCATAACAGAGAATAGAAGTTGAGGTGCTTTTAATATCAAAGGCAGTCATGCTGGCCGGGGGGGATGTGGAAGCTGGAGATCTCTCTGTCCATTGCAGCTCCTTGTTCTACAAAACAGAGAAAGGACTTGTACAAATACTATAGAGGCCAAAATTGTGCAGAGCCATATTGGAAGCAGTCGAAATACACATTTGACCTCCTCAACTTGTGTAACAGTGCAGAGGCGCCATGGATTAGGATTTTGGCGAGTTCTAGTTAACAAGATTGCATCTTCTGGGGTTAATCAAGAAACCTGTTTTTGAAATGACCGTTCGTTAGTGCCTATTGAGAAGGAGTAGAAACAAATTCATAATAACTTGCATTCATAACAATGTGAATTAACTTGAATTAGCTAACTTGAAATCATCTGTATATCGAGCGCTTTCCTTTTCATCCTTATGAGGAGCTTCATAAAGCCCCTCTCCGTCAAGATTTATTTTCCTCATAGAGGTGACAAGCACCTGCGAAAACCTGGAGACGGGATTTCCAGAAGACTTAATGTGTCAATAGCTACAGGTCCACTTAGCAGTAAAATCAATGCTACTAAACCAGCAGAGGTAGATATCCAGAAGGCCAACACCCATTTCCCCAAGTTTTCTACATAAACCAACACAGTCTCTGCAATCAAGGATCCTAGGTTTAGTGCAACGTAGCAATAGCTGAAAAATGCAGTTTTCGACTTATTTTTCTTTAAAATCTTCTTCATCGAATTGATCTGCNAATCAAGGATCCTAGGTTTAGTGCAACGTAGCATAAGCTGAAAATTGCAGTTTTCGACTTATTTTTCTTTTAAATCTTCATCATCGAATTGATCTGCTCCCAAAGTTGCAAGTGCCGGTTCCATAGCCCCGCTTCCTAGAGCTAGCAAGTAAATTGATATGTAAAAAAGAGCAATTTCTCATCGTGATTGATGGTTGCATAGCTCTCCAATTTTCCCACGACCCTTTGGTTCAAGCATGAATGCCTGAGTCGACAAAGATAATAGCACCAGTCCCTAAAAAAGCAACAAAAACTTCAGAATCAATCAAATCTTTAAATAGTTTTTCCCCCAAAATTTCACGCATATGGTTAAAAAGTGCTTTAGAGAATGTTGGCAAGTTTACTTAAGATAGCTAAAAACAACTTGAAATACAACACAAGTGAGGTATCTTCCTACTAAGATAAGCACCAAACAGAGTGCAGATGTTAAGAGTTCCCATCCATGTGCTAAAGGTGTTAGCTGATTCTGCATTCGACTGCCTCAATACCAACTTTGAAAATAGAACCACGTTTACTTCCACTTCAGTGAATCCAAGCGCCGCAAGTCCCTCGATGACTGAACAACAGATCAAATACAATTTAATAAAGACTTGAAGAAACGAAACAACCTTGAAAACTGAATATCTATGCAGTCCACATTTGGCATACTATATTAGACAGAAAATAAGATAACAATGTACATACCGAGTAATAGCATTCCTGATCTCCATCCACCAGTTGTGTTTCCTTTCATTTCTGGTTTCCCAGGAATATCTATCGTCCCATCTTTCGATTCTAGTCCTTCTTTCCTTCGATCTCAATCAAAAATTCTCGAAAAATTTAACAATTAATTCACATCTACACTACAGTATATGTTTGATAATTATTACCATGGCTGCTCACCTTAAAAACCATATAGCTACCATGTCTTTCTTATACAGTTATCCAATATAAATGCAAGACAAAGGTCTGAACAATATTTTAATGTCAAGAAGCCGACTATTCTACTCTAAACCCATGCTAATTTAAAAGACAATCTTGATCTCAGAAAAATAATATCCTTTTTAAACTCTGGTGAAGGTCCAATTCACGTAGTTAAGTGGAGATCTAGTCTCATCTAATGACACTGCTAATGATCAACGTATAGCATTCATTGAAAGACCTCCCGCCCTGAGCTTCTGCTCCCTCATTTAGTTAGTTGAAGATAAACCATGCACGGAACATTATGGAAAGTCTATGAGAAGAGAAGTGGAATGGTCTGAAAAGGGAACACAGCTATATTGTTGAATACTATGCCATTACTAAGTGAAAGTTGGAATTACTTTTGATTTAGACAACTGTTTTTTTTTTTAACATATTCTACATCAAATTCAGGACGATACTCTGTTGGTCATTGGGTGAGGAACATCTGTGAAAATCCGACGCCAATGGGACATATAAGCACATTCCATGAACAAGGTGGATATTGTGGCATCTTTTCAAACCAGCTATTTCATTTCAGGAATTGCTCCCTATGGTGGTTCTAGCATACATCCCTGGGAAGGAAGACGGGGAGGACTTCAGTTCTAGAAGATCAAATGCAATCAAAGCTGCTGAGAGGAAAAAATATCTATCCAAATGTCCATCATTTAAATTTGGAGGCACCCATCCTGGTTTCCCATGCTTCGATGTGATCTTCATCACTAGGCTCAATATTATGCTGGACAAGAAACTACCTAATGCATCTAACAAGAACAGATGCAGAGAAACTAGCAGTGCACCAGCAGATAACAGATTGAAACCAGTAGCAATCACAACAAGAACAGATGCAGATAAACTAGCAAGAAGAATAAACAGATACAGAGAAAACCAGCAGAAGCAACAGAAGATAACCAGCAAAGATATAAACCAGCAGAAGGGAAAAACTCAGAACAGATTTTAACATAAAGTTTGCACTTCATTAGTCCTCATTAACCAAAACTTAATATGATTTTTATTTCAAACTCTTCTACACTCCTAATGTAGCCTATTTATAGACTTAGAGAAGTATCTAAGTTGTTATTAACTACCTAACTAACTAAGGCTCATTTTGCCTACTAAGTTGGTTGATCAAAACAGAAAATTGATTTATTTACAACCGCTTGATTTATTTACTATATTTTTATTTTCATTATGTCACTGCCTCATGGTAAAGTGACCACGATGAATTCTACGGCATCGGGTAGGACAAAGTCTTCGCGCTTCGGTTTTCCTCGGCGACGGCTGTTCGGTATGCGCCTACTGTGTGTTTTATCATAAAGTCCTTTACCAAAACTTAATACGTCGCAGTACAACTCCTCAGCTTTTTCCCAGAACTTTTTGGTCCGTCTGGGACTGATGACCACTTGCTGCAACATGTTAATAAATCAGTAATTGCCGTATTTATACCTTTGCGGTCAATTTAAGTCAAATTCAAAATACTAAGAAAGCATAAACTCGCATTAAATTCAAACTCTAGCTAATTACTGAAAATAAGAACAACAGTTATAATCAAATTTAGCCCTTTCAGTTCTCCAGATTCAATCATCGTTGAG